CATGCTGGCGACGTTCTGATTTGTCTGATGTCCGTGGTGCCCAGTCGTGACGCCGGCCGAGCTGGCTTGCAAAGCCCAACAGGCCAAGGCGGCGGTATCCACGACCGAGGCATCTGCGGCCGCGGCGGCGAGGAGGTCAGCATCCGCCATCGGCGTGGGTTGTCGTGAGGGCGAGTGAGTCAGCGCGGAAGGGCCAGTTGAAAACTGGCCCGGCAGATCCATTCTGAGGCTGGCCGAGGCGGTTTGACGCAACAGGCAGGCCTGAAAGAGAAGAGCGCGTGTCTCCTCCAGACTCGACTTGCACTGGCCGAAGTCGGCCGGAGACGCGGCCGTCGTCGTCAGGGCGGGTTGGAGGGTGGGCAGAAACGGCGAGTGTAGGCCGGACGCCGTGAAGACAGGCCGACTGAGGCATTGGGTCTCGTGAGTTTTCGCCTTCTTCGCAACTGCCGTCCGGTCGTGAAGATGAATCGGGTCGGGCCTCGTCTCCTGCGGCGACTCGACGATCCGCCTCGTCAGGCCGTTGTGCGTCTGCACGCCGTCGAGGACATCCGACCGCGGGACTCGAGCCTGCGGCCCGGTCGACCAAAACTGGTCGCAGCTGGTCTGTCGAATGTTGGTACTGTTGCTGTTGTTGATGCTGCCAATGTCGGTGCTGTTGGTGTGCAAGGGTGTCGGTGTGTCGAGGGGGACAAGAGGCGGCGGAGGGCTGTGAGATGGCAGGTACAGGCCGCCTGGCAACAGGGCGCCGACTAATGGGGAGGCGGGAAAACCGGTATGGCCCGGCAACAGGGCGAGACCGGCCGGCCAATCGGCAGGCGAGTAGCCAAGTTCGAGGTCATTCGACGCCGCGCCGCCGCGGAGACCGCCCAACTGCAAAAGGTGATGCAACGACACGGGCAAATGGGCCGACAGCCAAGATGCCGCAGTCGCCATGGTAACAGACGAAATGGGCGGAAGGCCAGTGAATGTGTGTCCGAGGCCCATGGGGACGGGCGGTGGAAGTGGTACTGGCGGTGGCGGCGGTGGCGGCGGCGGTGGAGGCGGTGGCGACGGGTCTGTAGATACGAGGTGTCCGGACAGAGTCGGGGAGGGGGGCAGGTGGGGGTGAGCAAGGGAGCTGTGAAGGATGGGCGCCTCTTGAGAGTGGAGAGGTGGTGGGGCGTTGGCGGCGTTGGCGGCGGCAGCAGCAGCCGCGGCCGCAGCAACGGAGGCGTAGTAGCCGGCCAGGCGAATGCCGAGGAGGCGGGAGCGTTGGAGGGAGTT